TGGCTGCAATATAACAAAGAGTGAAAAATTTAAGGGGGTCTGAATACTTTCCGTACCCACTGTATATATAATGCTAAAATGCATAAATAAACAGTTTTTAAGTGTATTAAAAATAATAGTCAAGCACGTCAGCAGTAGCAAATAAAAGCTCCACTACATGCCATATACCAGTGATCGGCAACAGGTGGCTTAGCCCGCGCCCCCAGCCAGATTATTTTGATAGCACCTGGTTCTGAAATAGATCTGTCATGACAGTAACAGTTACTCACAATCAGAGTATGCGAGCGGAGCGGAGTGGGAGCAGAGCGTGGAGTGGAGCTGTGTGATTTTGACTGGAGCAAGAAGCAGATTTTTTTTAAAAGTCGGAGCGTCGTGGTTTTCACTTGCTCCAAGAGCGCTCCACTACTGTTCCATCACGAGTGCAATTCATGCCAACGGCCCGTCATATAACTGCATATTTAGCAAGAATTCACATGTTAAACATATTTAGCTAGAGATGGATCACTCAAATCAGAAAGAATGTGAAGGCTATGATGAAGGCAATGGACATGAGCGGGAAGTTATACACTGTAAAAAAAAAATCCGTAAAATTTACGGTAAAAAAACGGCAGCTGTGGGTGCCGGAATTTTACCATAAAAAATACGGTAGCAACGTTTTAGGTTTTATGGTTTTAACTTGAATTTACAGTTAAATACCGTAATTTCATTAACTGACATAATGTTAATATACCAACCTATTGAAGTACTGAAATCTGTTTTCAGTCTTTTACCGTTAAATTCATGGTCATTTTTTACAGTGTAGTTCTCAAGGTATTTGTTTGTTCCTTCTAGATACTGAATATTTTCAACTGAAAGCATGATTTAAACAAATACTATAACACGCAATTGCTCTCTCAGTAATGCATTCAAACAAATGTAATCTTACAGTGCTACTTCATCTGTATCCGATTTCGAATAAGCAGAAATATGTAAGAAATGCATCGATCCGTAAGTAAAATAACTGACGAAAACGTACTGTTATTTTCATCACAAACAAAATTTGCCCCGCAAAACGCAGCAATTATACCTTTTAATGCTGACAACCATGTTATTAGCTTGTCATGTGGTAGGAAAAAAGTTTGCAGACTAGTGTTCCAAT